ACTGGTGTCAGTGGTGCTTTTTGACATCTTCATCCTTTGTTGAATGAAGATGGATGTTTAAAGTGTTTTCTTTTTGCATCGTTTTATATTGTTAAATATCTCTTACCACAGAAAGAGTGATGGTAATTTTGCTTTACTCGGCTCAGGGTTGTTTTCTGTGTTCTTCATGTATAATTAATGAATGCTGCAGATCGGCTGTTGAGATTCAAAGATAAGAGGACGTGAAACACATAGACTCACGCTAGCTTTTGAAATGTTCTGCTAATAATGTTTTTCTTTCTTTTTTACTTTGCACACAAACAGTTTAACCACAGACTAGTTTCAGGCGGGTACAGCTTCAACATGCATCAGCTCTCTGGTAACTTTACTCTCTTATTTGGGCTTCCCGATACTGGCAGAAACCATAATCGGGTCTTTTGGTCCGTATTGAGGATTACAGGAATATTTAACACAGTTACTCACTGGCTTTGTGGATTCATTAAAAAGAATAAACTTGCCTTTGAAGTTAAATTATATTTTCAAATGGAAAATTGAGAAAATTGAGACAAAAGTAAAAGTGAAGGGATCTTGGGCCCTGTGCACTACCACAGTGGTGTATGTGATTAAAGTGCAGACCTTCATCTTCACATTAAGGGCTGCTGCAAATATTTTGCATGATTTTTTTTTAACACTTGGATGAAAGTGTGTAATCCGTGGACATCACCAAATCTATCCTTGAGGTATTCTGCTAGGCCTTTACTGCAGCCACCTTCACTTGCTGCTTGCTTGTGGGTCTCTCTGCTTCAGTTTTACCTTCAGTAAATGGAAAGCTGCTCTGCTGGGTTAAGATCAGGTGGCTGACTTGGCCATCAAAGAATGACCCATTTCTTGAGTTGCTTTTGCATTTTGCTTTCTTTGCAAAGTGCTTTCTGAGCAGAGAGTGCAGCCCTGTACGCTTCACGAGTCACCCTGCTGCTTCTATCAGCAGTCACGTCATTAATAAACACCCGTGACCCGGTTCCACTGGCAGCCGTACGTGCCAGTGTCATAACACTGCCGCCATCGTGTTTGACAGATGATGTGATGTGCTTCAGATCATGAGCTGTTTCTCTCTTTCTCCGTACTTTTCTCCTCCCATCGTTCTGGTACAAGTTCTTCTTGGTTTCATGTGTCCAAAGAATTTTTCCAGAACTGTGTTTCCTGGGAAATTTAATCTGGCCTTCCTGCTCTTGACTTGGTTAATGTCTGAAGTTTTTCTTGTCCACTTTAGTCTTCTGTGGTCTTTCAGGCTGTTTGGTGTTGCTGAGCTGGCCATTGCATTCCTGTTTTAATAAGAAAGCACCAGATTGTTGCTTTAAACACTCCTAAAGCTTTTGCTACCTCTTGGATAGGTTTATTTTTCAGGGCCTCCTTTACTTGAAGCCACGTTTCTCTGGATCAATGAACAGCTGCAACACTTGGAATCAACTCCAAGTAAATTTGTCATTTGTCCAATTAATTTTGATCCTCTGAAAATTGACGAATGTCAATAACAATGTATGCAATTCCTCAAGAGCTTATGCAATACTTTTGTTAACTTTAATTATCTTTAATTAAAGATGAAAGAACTTGTACCACATCTTGGTTGTTTGATTGCACAATTGCACAACACAAAACTGTTCAGAAGACATCTGCAGTGTGTGCAGCAGAGCAAGCCTTTCAAAGCAAAGCACATTACAAAGAAATCAATATTTGATTCATGGACTGAGCAATCTTGCATTGTGCGTCGTTTAGATGCTCTGTGTGTGTGTGTGTGTGTGTG